CTCTCTCCTAGCTTCTGGCAGCCTGAGTCCCTCCTTGGGTAGATGGCCTTCTCCCTGTGTCTTCACATCCTTTCCCTCTGTACGTGTCTGTATCCAAACTTCCTCTTCTTATAAGGACACCAGTCATTGGATAAGGTGCAACCCTAACAACCCCACTGTAACTTGATTACCACCATAAAGACCCTATTTCCAAATCAGGTCACATACTGAGTTGCTGGGGATTAGGATTTTAACATCTTCTGGGGAGAAAACAGGTCAGGCCATAACAGAGAGGGACTTAGAAAGAGCCTAGTGGACTCCCTGAGTTGAGGGGTTGAACCAAGAGTTCATGGACACCAAGGCTGTTAGAATTTTCAAGACAGAATACTAGAGAGGAGAAAGCTGCATACAGAGAATCCTAGAGATCTTGTTTGGGTCCCCTACAGTATTTGCAGAATAAGATCAGTACATGCCTGTGAGGAAACTACACAAGGCTGGGGAAAGACCATTCAAAAGGGTTAGAGGGAAATTGCCCAGTGGTCACAAAGGCCAAGGAGCAGTGCCTGTTCCTACCAGCCAAGTTGGAAATACTCAAGGGGCATTTGGTAGATTACTGAGGAAGTCTTGCTTCAGTAGTGGTGAATAATTAGCCTGAGCATTACCCCATACCCACCTAACAAATCATAAAAGTGAAACTATAAAGGACTGAACTGTTTACAACTTAACTGCATCCCATTACTAAGCTCAAGAATACTTATATAAATACAGAAGTATCCAGCACCCACCAAGGTAAAATTCACAATGTCTGGCATCCAATTAAAGATTACCCGGAATGCAAAAAAAGAAGGAAAACATAACTGATAATGAGGAGAAAAAGAAATCAATCAAAACCAACCTAGGACGGACACAGATGTTAATAGGCAGATAGAAACATTAAAATAGTTATTATAACTGTACCCCACATGTTCAAAAAGTTAAGTAAGACATGAAAGATATTAAAAAGACCCACTTCAAACTTCTAGAAATGAAAATTATATTGCTCAAGATGAAAAATACATTCACTTTATTTATATGAGATTAATGACAAATCAGACATTGCAGAAAAGATTAGTGACCTTGAAGACATATCAACAGAAACTATCCGAAATGAAACACACACATTATTAATTATTAATTAATTATTCAATTTGTTAAGATGAAAAGAGCATCAGTAAGATATATGACAGCTTCAAGCAGCCTAATCTACCTGTAATTAGAGTATGCAAAGAAGAGAGCCAAAGGATTAAAAAAAATTGAAGAAATAATGGCCAAAAACTTTCAAACTCAATAAAAACCATGAACTCACAAATCCAAGTAGATCAATGAAGTCCAAACACAAAAAAGTGAACAAAGGGACATCAATACATGTCCTAATCAAATGTTCAAATCAGTTATAAAATCTTAAAAGCAACCAGAGAAAAAGACATGTTAACTGCAGAAGAAAAAGGTAAGAATGGCAGGGATTTCGTACCAAAGAGTCCAGCGATAGACTCACAAATGTATGTACAACTGATGTTGACAAAGATAAAAGGCAATTCAGTGGAGGAAAAATAGTCTTTCCAACACATGGGGCTACAAAATTATACATTCATATGCAAAATATTGAACTTTGAGCCATACCTCACATTATACACAAAAAGTAATGCAAAATGTACTGTACACCTAAACAGCAAACCTTAAATCATAGAACTTCCAGAAGAAAACAAGAGAAAATCATTGTGACCTTGGGTTAGACAAAGATTTCTTTGAGACAACAGCAAAAGCTCAATTCATAAAAGAACAAATTGATAAATTTGAAAAAATGTGAAGTTCTGATCCTCAAAATAACAGTTGAGATTTTTAAAACTACCAACAGATTGTAAGATCGTATTTGTGAAGCATATATCTGACAAACTACTTATAATCAGAATATATAAAGATCTCTAAAAACTCAATATAAGGAAATAAACAGCTCTCAAAAAGTGGACAAAAGATCTTAACATACTTCACCAAACAAGATATTCAGATGACAAATATGCACATCGAAAGATGCTCAATGCCACTTATCATTAAGGAAATGCAAATTCAAACCATAATCAGATACCACTATACACCTATTACAATGGTTACAATTTAAAATATTGATCGTACCAAATGTTGGCAAGAATATGGAGGAGCTGGAATTTTCATATAATACAGGTGGGAATGTAAAATGGTCCAGCCACTTTGGAACACGGTTTGGCAATTTCTCAAAAAGTTAAGCATACACCTGCCATATGATCCAGCCATTCTGTTTCTAGATAATTTCCAAAGAGAAAATAAAGCATATACCCATACAAAGACTTGTACATGAATGTTCATAGCAAATTTATTTATTAAAGCTCCAAACTGGAAATAATCCAAAAGGCCATCAATAGGTGAATGGATGAAAATTTTATTATTTCTATATAATGGAATACCACTCAGCAAAAAAATAAAAATAAAAATGAATGGATGATTGATATAACAAATGGATAAATTTAAAAGTTATTAGCTGAGTAACAGAAGACGGACCCAAAAAGGTATATACTGTATGATTCCATTTATATAAATCTCTAGAAAATGCAAATTCACTTATAGTGACAGAAAAGGATCAGTGATTACCTGGGGTGGAGGCAGGGAGATAGGTGTGAAGGTGAGATTACAAAGAGGCATGCAGAAACTTTTAGAAGTGATGGATATGCTCATTATCTTGATTGCGGTAATGGTTTCATGAGTACATAAATGTGGGAAAGTGTGTCAAATTGTACATTCTAAATATGTAACTTATTGTATATCAGTTATTACCACAATCAAGTTGTTTTAAAATAAAGAATCAAAGGAGTGGTCCAGATTATGATTCTTAGAAGGGGTCAGAAAGGGAGAAAATGCTGAGGACCTGAGGGAATGGGAAGGTCTTCCCTGGAGGTGGAACCCTGGAGGGTAGGTCCGATTTGTTTGTGCATAAAGAGTGGAGGGAATTCCAGACAGGGAGCACAGCACAAGCAAAGTTGGGGAAAGGGAATTAATGAATATTTATTCATTGTCTCTTCAAGGGACTCCAGGGAGGGTCTGTGTGCCCGCAGAGAAGATGAAGACTGAATCTACATTTTGTGGGTCATTGATATCTATTCTAAACATTATTATTCCCTCTCCCACTGGTTATCTATTGGCATGTAACAAACCATCCCAAAGCTTAGCACCTTAAAACATCATCTGTTATTGCTCGTGATTCTGTGCCCCAAGTGGGTGACTCTTTTGCTCTCTGTGGTGTAGGCTGAAGAGTTGAAAGGCTGGGGGTCCTTTGGGCTGGAACAATCAAGATAGCCTCCTCACATGGCGGGGAGCTGCAGTAGGGATGGCCACCAGGGATGGTTGTGCACCTCTCAGAGTGGCAGCAGAGTTCTGGGGGAGCCTCTCAAGAACAGGAGAATCAAGACACCTAGCTGGGAAGAGCAAATCTTCTAGGTCTTGCTTTGGAAGTCATACAGCTTCTCTAACAGTGTCCTTTGGGTCAAAGCAAGTCACAGGCCAGGCCAGCTTCAAGGAAATAGACCGCACCTCTCAATGGGAGGAAGGCTAAAGACTTTGTAGCATCTTTGATTTGCCATATCCCCTCTTCCCTTGCACTCTCCAATATGAATTTATATTTACTGATACGGGTTATAAGGTAAATATGGACAGGCACCACACATGCCTTACATCATGCCTCATTCTCTCAAGTTCCCCAAATAAATTGGTTAATGAAACACTTTTGAATTGTCAAATGTTCAGCAAATGAAATACTCACCAGATGGGTATAACACAAATAACCCCATTTTGCAGATCACAGACCAAAATCAGCAAGTTGACACACTTTATGTATTTTAGGGAAGAAATTTACCTCACTTTGGCAATACTGTTTTAGAACTTTATCATTGGAGCCTCTCGAATTTAAGTGAACTATCCCAATGAAATACAAATGGTTTTATGCTTTTTGAAGTCATATTTTGAAGGCTTTTTTAGAACTTAAAGGCTATAGTTTCAGCCACTGAGAGAACAGAAAATCCTGTTGGTGATTAGACTGGCAGGCATGTTAACACCTTGAGACCTGGAGTCAATCCAAACTACCTCATTTAGAGCTCAAAGGCAAGACTTCCATTACCAGTCTGAGAAACACTCTTAATGGAGGAAAAATCAGTTAATAATTTAAAAAGTAAACTGTGTCCAGAATTTTAAAGAGCAAAGAACTTTACAGCAAGGCAACCCTCTCCCTTCAACTGTTGATGAGACACCAATTTTAGGTTCAGTGCTCCATCACCTGGTAATGTGGCCCCATTAATCTCCTGAGAACTGAACTCAGTGTTTAAGCAAGAAGGCCTTGCCTAGAAAATTTGGTACATATACACAATGGGATATTATTCAACAATAAAAAATCTCATGCCATTTGCAACAACATGGATGTGCCTAGAGGGTATTATGCTCAGTGAAATAAGCCAGGTAGACAAAGACAAATACCATATGATTCTACTTATATGTGGAATCTAAAGACAAGACAAAACAAAACAAAATGAACAAAATAGCAGCAGACTCATAGACACTGAGAAGTGATTAGTGGTTACCATGGTGGAGGAGTTGGGGTGGGAGAGTAGGGAGGGGGAGGGAGATAAAGGGACACAAAAATCTCAGTCATAGTATAAATTGGTCATGGGGATGAAAGTGCAGCACGGAGAATATAGTCATTGATTCTGTAACATCTTCCTGTGTTGACCGACAGTAACTGCACCAGTGGGGGTCAGGATTTAATAATATGGGCAACTGTTGAACCACTATGTTGTGTATTTGAAACTAATAAAAGATTATATATCAACTATATTTCAATAAAAAATAAATAAAAAACAAAAAAAAGAGGGCCTTTCCTGCCACACCGTTGGCTTGATTTGCCCAACATGGCAGTGTGGTTACCAGAAAGGCAGGAGTTGGATTATTTCATTTCATTTTTTTCAAGTGAGATGGGTAACGCGCCGACGTCGTGACAAGTTTGTGGGAGGCGCTGTGCCACACCAAGACGTGACCACCCAATCATCATGCTCATGAACTACGGGAGGATCAGGAGCTGGATTCATTTTGAAATCATAGCCCATTAGAGAGAATTAGGCCACGATACACAAGTGCCAGGCATTCACGATGTTCAGTCTTCTCATTAAAAATTTTCTTAAATATTTAATGCTTAGGGATTTTTATTTAAATGTATCACACAAAACATAATGGCTGATGTGGCAGGACTTTTTCACTGGATTATGTGAGGGCCTGGTACTCCTTTAAAAATGTATCCTATGAATCCAGAGAGGTCTAGCGGACTGAGCACAAGAGTTAGGATCCCAATTTTAACACCATCTTCTGCGGAGCCTCAGGCAAGTCACTCATCTCCTGTCTGTGTTTCAATGTCTATAAAACGAGCATCATAATTTACTGAGCCCAGCCAGAATACAATGAGGTATAACTAATTAGTGTTTACAATATGGTTTGATGACAGGCATTAAATATTATTGTTTTATTATGTAAATGATTCTTAACTTTGACATCAGAAATGGTTGGCCTGTGACAGGAAAGCTTTTTGATGAAATGAGATCTTGCAGGAAGCACATAGCACAAGTCTTGCCAGTAGAGTTCCCTCTTCAAAATAATTAAATATACTGTGTTCAGTATGAAGTCGATGAGGCATCACCGTGTACAGTGGGACACAGGACGTGATTAATGACACCTTCAGACGTTTGAGGATTGACACATAAAAACAAGAACGAGTAATGAGGGGGCAGTGGGCTGGGGGCAGCACGGAGAAGGGGGAACAGCCCAGGAGGGCCTTTCCAGGGTGTGGACAAGTGCCTTTCCCAGGCTACTTCCAGGAATGCTTCCATGATCAGAGAGATCATTTTTGTGCCTTTCACCAGGTCCACTGTGTCACAACTTCACCATTTTGCACTAAGGACTGACAATTGAGCCACGTTCCAACTGGCATATAACAAATGAAGCTGTGAGCAAATGGTGTTAAAATCTAAAGAACTGGAAACTACAGGTCATAAGAACCTACTTAGTTGCCAGTAAGCCTGCAGTGAGAACAATTTGCTCAGCAATATCGCTAGGCTCACTTCAAAACAGAAAATTAGTGAAGCAAATAAAATGAGAAATCAAATAGGGTGACTTTAGTCATTGTTAAAGAAGCTGATAGTGGGACGTTAAAAGCAAACAGTTAAATTTTTAGTCTTTTTTCAAGGGCAGTGTGAACAGGATTGAAAATTAAACAATTAAGAAACTTTAAGAATTCTAATTGCAAGTAGTATGACTGTCCGAAATGGGAAATTACAAATCAAAGAAAAATGTGGTACTGCATAGACTTAAAAGCATAAGCAAGATAACTGTATCCTTGAGCTGTTGCCATGGGGAACACTGCATGTCTCCCCAGAGCTTAGTGACGTAAAACAGAACTGTTTCTTGTGTCTCATGAGTCTACGCGTCAGTGAGGCCCTTCTGATATGAGTGTGGCCTGACTGACGTTGGCTGGGCTGGCTCACAGGTCTGAGGTCAACTGGCCAGTCCGCAGAGGCTGGATGGCAGAGCAGGCCTCTGCTGGGATGACTCAGCACTTCTCCACTTGGCTTCTCACTGCCCACCACGGAGCCCTGGCTTAGTCTCACAGCACAGGCAGAGGTCCTGGGGCAACAGAAGTACACAAAGTCAGCTAGGTAGGCCCGGCTCAGCACTGGCACAGTTATTTCAGATCATTCCACTGGCCACAGCAGGTCACACGACCAGCAAATTCAAAGGGTGGAGAAACAGACCCCATCTCTTGATGGGAAGAATTACAAAGTCACATTGTAAACAGACAGGGGTTAAAAAATTGCTGTATTCAATCTACCAGCTACTAAAATATAAAAGAATATGGCATATTAAGGAAAAAGCCAGAATTTCAGTATGACTTGAGCCTAAAGTTCAAATAGAGAGTGAGAAAGACAGAGGTGAAGTGTAAGCCAGAACTAGATCAGGAAAGGACTTCAGATAGATGGAAACCACATTTAGAAGTTTCATTTTTTTAAGGCAATTGGAAAGTTATCATGCAATTAATGTGATTACATCTGTATTTTAAAAAACATGTAATGCACAATTTTGTGGAGGAAAGAGAGACAGAAGTTAGACCAGTTAAGAAGCCACAGTGGTAATTTAGGTGAGAATTGATTAGGGTTTGTACAAGAGAAGGAGGAATTGAGAAGAAAAAAGGATGATGTATTTGGACAAATGTTGGGGACAGAACCAACAGATTGAATGTGTGGTAGTAACTACTTGTTACCTCTCCTCTCTTCCCATGGTAATAAACCACCTATTTTGTGGGCCCATGTTGATTCATAGTAAAAACTGTAGTTCCAGCTTACCTTGAAGTTAAGGAGACCACGTGGGCACATCCTGGCAATGTGATGCAAACAGGTGTGCCAGGCAACAGTTTCCTGGAACCTTTGGTAACAGACAGTTGAGACATGCCCTTTGCCTACGTCTTGTTCCCTCTCTGCCCTATCACTGGAATGCAAACACCCATTGTGGGGTCAGGAGGATAAAGACTGCACCCTGAGAACGGCAGAGTAGTGACTGGAGGGAGCTTGAGTTCCTAAAGAGTTAACAGTGAAGCCACCACATCAGACCTGGACTGCCTGCCTATTTCCTGAGTTTAAAATGACAGAGAAGTAAACCCACTATCACATGTAGGCCTCTGTTATGTAAGGTCTGTTATTCACAGTTGAGTCTAATCTGAACTGATACAGATGAGGAAAGAAGAATTTTAGATTTGTTAGGCCAGGAGGAGGAACAAGTCCCCAAGGGAAGTTCATGAGTTCTGTTATGTAGCTGATAATTTTATAATGTCTAGGGAAGAAACAGATGTATTCATATCTGGGGAAAAGAATGGAGTGATAGGAGAGGGTGCTGAAAAGACTTTCTGATACTGAAAACACTTTGTTATCTTTATATGTCTTTTACACAACTGCCTGTTTTACCTACACATAAATAAATAACAATACTTTACAAACACTTCCCCAAAATAGGTGAGAATATTTCCTCATCTCATTCTCTAAGACCAGTATTACTGTAATACAAAAACACAACAAAGTCATCACAAGAAAACTACACTCATCTTCCTAATAAATATAAATGCGAAACTCCTCAACAAAATGCTGACAAATGGAATCCAGCAACATATAAAACCATGATCAAGTGGGATTTATCCCAAGCAAGTTTGGTTTTATATGAAACCAGTTGTGTAGTATACTATATTAATAGACTGAAAGACAAATACCACATGATTAGTCAACACATAAAAATCATTTAACAAAATTCAACACCGTTTCATGATAAAAACACTGAACAACTTCTTTAACCTGATAAAAGGCATCAATGAAATACCAAATTAACGTCATAGTTAATAGTGAAAGACTGGATACTTTCTCACTAAACTCAGTCATAAAACAAGAATGTATGCCTTCACCAGTTCAATGTAACATTATACTGTTCTAGCAAGATTCTATATAACTTCTTTGTAACATTATACTGTCCAGTATGGTTCTAGCAAGGACAATTAGATGAAAAAATAAAAGTATCCAGACTAGAAAGGAAGAAGCAAAACTATTTTCCCAGATGAAATGATTTTATATATAGAAAATACTAAGGAACCCACTAAAAGCTATTAATAAGTTCACAAGGTTGTAAGATACAAAATCAACATACAAAAGTCAATCGTATACACTAACAATGAACAATCTGAAAATGAAATTTAAAAAACACTTCCATTCACAGTAGCCTCTAAAAGAATTAAATACCTAGGAATACATTTAACAAAGGAAGTGAAACAAGTCTGCACAAGAAAATTGGAAATTTTCTCTCCAATGGAAAGACAGTCCATGTTCATGGATTGGAAGACTTAATTTTGTTAAGATTGCAGTTTCCACCCCCAATTGATCTGCAAATTCAATGCAATCTCTATCAAAGTCATAGTTGCCTGGGTTGCAGAAATTGACAAGCTCATACTGAAATTCACATGAGAATGCAGGTGACTTAGAATAGCCCAATCTTGTGGGGGTGGGGGGGAGAAAAGAATATTTGGAAAATTCACATTTCTCAGTTTCAAAACTTAAAACAAGTCTCCAGTAATCCAGACAGTGTGCTACTTGTATAAAGCTAAGACATAGCTCAATGGAATAGAATTAAGGGTCCATAAATAAGCCTTTACATTTATGGTCAGTTGAATTTCAATAAAGTTGCCAAGACAGTTCAGTGGAGAAGAAATAGTCTTTTCAACAAATGGTGCTGGGGCAACTGGATATCCACATGCAAAAGAATGTGACAAAAAAATTAAAAGGTACTCTATCTCATACCATATACAAAGCTGAATGCATACCATATACAAAATTACTATATATAATATATACAAGTTAACTCTTATCCCAACTATATGAATTAAAACAATAAAACTCTTAAAAGAAAACACAGAATTAAACCTTTATGACCTTGAGTTTGGCAAGGTTTCTTGATATGATACCAAAAACACAAGGAACACAAGCAACAATAGATAAATTGGACTTGATAAAATTAAAAGCTTTTTTTGCTTCAAAGGGCACCATTAAGAAAGTAAAAAGGCAACACAAAAAAATAGAAGAAAATATTTATACATCATAATCTGAATAAGGGAATTATATCCAAAACATATAAAGAACTCTTACATCTCAACAACTGAAAGACAAATAAACCAATCAAAAAATGGGAAAAGGAGTTAAATAGGTTTTTCTTCAGAGAGGACATACAAATGGCCAGTAAACATATGACAAGATGCTCAACATCATTATCATTAGGAACAGCAAATCAAAACTACAATGAGATACTACTTCATACTTAGAAGGATGACCATAATCAAAAAATAACAGACAATAACAAGTCTTATTGATGATGCAGAGAAATTGGAAGCCTCGGACACTGCTGGTGAGAATGTAACATGATGCAGCTGCTTTAGAAAATAGTTTGGCAATTCCTCAAAGTTAAACAGAGCATCCTTGCAATTCACTCCTAAGTATA